CTCTGTATCTCATTGTACAACTGTATATTGACAATAAAGGCATTCTATTCTATTCTATTCTATTCTAAGGTATGTAGATTGTCGGGGTTGCCATATAGTGCCTTGAATGGCTTGTTTGAGAAAGGCAAGAGTAAAATCAATGAGAAGACAGAGAACCCGCACACGCTCGTGTGTGCGTGTGGAGCCAAGGAGAGGAGAAGTAGCCGTCTCGCGCATGTTGTCACGGTCAGCCACATTAATAATAAAAAGCTCTCTTTTTCAGTGGAGAAGCAGTCTCCTCATCTGCAGTGTGAACAAATTCAAATTGTGAGCAATGGGAAGGTCAAACAAAATCACAAATGCATGCGTTGCTTTGGACACAACCCTCCACACTGAGCCCTGGAAAAAGAGCCACATGTCAGGTCAAACACAACTGCAAGAGCAATCGTGCCACTGTGCGATGTGTTCACTGCAACAGATATACATGTGGTAAATGCAGACTACAGACACCATGGCAGTGCCAAGATTGCTGATTGAAGTGATTGCAGAGAAGCAGTCTCCTCATCTGCAGTGTGAACAAATTCAAATTGTGAGCAATGGGAAGGTCAAACAAAATCACAAATGCATGCATAGATACTAATTATAATTCCAGTATCTCCTCCTTTGAATGTTGAAATGTACTCACTCACTCACTTTTTATTATTATTTGTAAAAATGTGTACAAATGGTTGGTTTTTTGTTCTGTTTTTATCAATAAATGTCAGCAACAAAGGACATACACCCATGTGTTGATTTCTCCCTGAGATGGCAAACTGAAACACTACACTCCCCCACCCCCCCACTCCCCTCCCTCCAGAATTCCTAAGGTAACAACCCAATATCCATATGAATGACTAGCCAATTTAGCTTCCACTTCGCTGAAGCCAAAAGCCTACCAGTCATTTGACAACTCTCTGAGTCTAATAGGTAGAAAATGTCAAATGACAGGTCTCAGAGGTGCAAGTGTTAAGGAAGCCTCACGTTTCGGCTGAGCCCAAAAGGGGATCCGAGAGGTCAGTCAAAATTAAGTTGCTTGTGCAAAGCTTGGCTTTTTCTAGCCGCTAGCCACAACATGTGGTGCTGCAGGCCATCTCCGACAGCGTGGTGGTGGGAAGTCGGAGCGAAAGTTAACCTTAGCTGCACTTTTCTTTAAGACCCACCTCCGTTTCCAGTTGGATTAGGCCGAGTTCGGCCGTTAAGTGAATGTTCGGAGCTAACGAGTCTCT